GTACTTTTTTCAGTAGTATTTATTTAGCGTCTGATATTTATACATTGTTTTTCTTAATATACTGGAGGAAATAAAGAGAGGATGGGATTGGTTGTCCTGAGCTTACATTCTAAGGGCAAATACTATACGGTACTCATCGATATGTGGACATTTGCAAGCGCTGCATTTATGTTTCGCTACTGGAGAATATTACAGCTACCTTATTGAGTAACCAAGTTTACTCCTTTAAACTACTAGGAAAAAAGTAACCATTTTATTTTATAGAGGACTCTACTGTCGTTTAAAATAGTGAATATTATCTGAATTGTAAGATTCTGGATCATTAGCAGGACTGTCATTGGTGCACTTTTGAGCTCCTGTGCTATTTAGATTTACTGGAATCCTTTGACTTCTTGTCAGCAGTTCTGATTTTTTCTGTTTTTCTTTTTTCTTCTTGTCAGCAGATGGGAAAAATAGAAAAGTAGATGTTTTAAAATTCTGTTAAGAAGAGGAAACAGGTGTGCCCAAGGCTAGGTGCGAACCATTGAGGGGCAGAAGCAGGCAGGCATGCCTGGAGCCTCTACCTTTGGGATTGAAGTCTTCACCCAACATTTCTGGCATCTCAGATGTGAATCCAGTTGGAGCAACCCTAAGAAGGCAAGCAGCTGTTGCTGCAGCAGCCCTTGGGGAGGCCCCATCGCTTGGGCACGGAGGAAGGCTAGCCGCATGTCCTCTTGTGGGAATGGGAGTGTACCACTGGACAGGTTTCACTTTCCCTGGTTTCACTTTCTGTGGTTTCAGTTACGCCCTGACACAGTACAATAGGATATTTTGAGAGTGGGAGAGACACCGCATTCATGTAACTTTTATTGTAGTATATTGTTATAATTGTTCTATTTTATTATTGTTAATCTCTTACTGTACCTAACATACAAATTATAGATATGTATGTTAAGGAAAAAACATATATATGGTGCAGTACTATCTGCAATTTCAGGCATCCACTAGGGGTCTTGGAATTATTCCCTGTGGATTTGGAGGGACTACTGTACGGGTAATTAGAGGTTTAATGTAGAAAGTGTGTTTTTTGTTTTGTTTTGGGATGGAGCTCTGTTTCTCAGGCTGGAGTACAGTGGCATGGTCTGGGCTCACTGCAACTTCTAGCGATTCTCCTGCCTCAGCCACCTGAGTAACTGGGATTACAAGCACGCACCACCACACCCGGCCAATTTTTTTTTTTTTTTTTTTTTTTTTTTTTTTTTTTGTATTTTTAGTAGAGATGGAGTCTTAATCATATCAGCCAGGCTGGTCTTGAACTCCTGACCTCAAGTGATCTGCCCACCTCAGCCTCCCAAAATGAGCTACTGCTCCCTACCAGTTTCTTTCTTTTTTATTGAGATGGAGTTTTGCCGTTGCCCAGCGCGATCTCCGCTCACTACAACCTCCGCCTCCTGGGTTCAAGCGATTATCCTGCCTCAGCCGCCCGAGTAACTGGGATTATAGGCATGCGCTGCCACACCTGACTAATTTTTGTATTTTTAGTAGAGACAAGGTTTTGCCGTATTGGCCAGGCTGGTCTCACCTGACCACAAATGATCTGCCCACCTCAGCCTCCCAAAGTTCTGGGGTTACAGGCAGGAGCCATCATGCCTGGCCTAGAAAAACATGTTCACTGGAAGCTTTGTGGCTCTTCAGAGGGGAATATTATTATTTTCTGATTTCAGAATCATTGTAGCCCATGTAATTTCTGATACTGATGTATCAGCAGCAGAACATTTCTGCTTCCCAATTGCTAGTGACTCTAACCTTCCATCCTGACTGCTATTGGGGCAGCAACTGCCACACTCAGGTGAAAACCACTGTACAATGAAATTAATCATCAATTGGCAGGGCATGGTGGCTCACAGACATAACCCCAGCACTTTGGGAGGCCAAAGTGGGAGGATTGGTTGAGGCCAGGAGTTTGAGATCAGTCCGGGTAACGTAGTGAAACCACATCTTTACCTAAAAAATAAAAAATTAGAGACTGGGCCTGTTGGCTCACACCTATAATTCCATCGCTTTGGGCAACACGGCAAAACCCCTATCTACTGAAAAGAGAAAAGTACAAAAATTAGCTGGGCATGGTGGTGGGCATTCTGTAATCCCAGCTATTCTGGAGGCTGAGACAGGAGAATTGCTTGAACACGGAAGACGGAAGTTCCAGTGAGCCAAGATTGCGCCACTGCGCTCCAGCCTGGGTGGCAGAGCGAGACTCCGTCTCAAGGAAAAAAAAAAAAAAAATTAGCCTGATGTGATTTGCTCCTGTCGTCTCAGCTGCTTGGGAGGCAGAGGAGACAGGTGGATCATTTAAGTCCAGGAGTTTGAGGTTGCAGTGAGCCGTGAGCTGTGATTGCACCACTGCACTCCAGCCTAGGTGACTGAAACCCTGTCTCAGGAAAAAAAAAAAAAAAAAAATCTGCAAACGGGTGAGTTTCAAGAACCAAGTGTCAGGCCAAGGCACAGACATAGCTTCACAGTGTTGGAAGTCAGTGACAGAGTCTTTCAATAACTACTGATTACAAACATTTTAAGGGCATTTTTACAATTCTTTCATCAAGGGAAGCTGGGGATATTCTATCTACATCAGGTATTCTGGTGTGACTTTTTCTTTTGTGGAGCTTTGCTTTCTGAGTGAGACCTTCCCAAGTGTCCTGGAAGGCCCTGTGTGGCTATAACCTCTTTTTTTAATGAGCATAGTATCTGTTCGGGTACAACGTCTGGTCAGGGACACGCTGTGGCCTTTCCTGTGATTGTCCACAGGGAAGAGACTGAAATGCAATCCATAAAAAAAGTTGTCCCATCAGGTTGAATTGACAGTGCAGGTTTGCACTGTACCTTTCCCATATGTGGTTAAAATGGAAATCTCTTTTCAAGAAAAGTTTCATAGGAGAAAAATTTATCAGAAACATTCTGTTTAAGGAGGAGAGAGGATAAGGTTTACTGCCTGTAATAATATGCATGGAATATTCTGCTGTAGGGAAGCCATAGTGTTTATATATTTTTCATTTTAATGAGCCTGGTCCTTATCTTCTTCTCTGTGTGTATATGTGTGTGTGTGCGCGCGTGTGTGTGTGTGTGAGACGGAATTTCGCTCTTGTTGCCCAGGCTGGAGTGCAATGATCACGCAATGGTTGCGTGATCTCGGCTCACTGCAACCTCTGTCTCCTGGGTTCAAGCAATTCTCCTGCCTCAGCCTCCCGAGTAGCTGGGATTATAGGTGCTCGCCGCCAAGCTCGACTAATTTTTGTTTTTTTGTTTTTTTTTTTTTTTTAAGTAGAGATGGGGTTTCATCATGTTGACCAGGCTGGTCTCGAACTTCTGACCTCACTCAGGTGATCCGCCCAGCACTTTGGGAGCTGAGGCGGGCAGATCACCTGAGGTCAGGAGTTCAAGACCAGCCTGGCCAACATAGTGAAACCCCATCTCTACTAAAAAAAAAATAAGAAATTAGCTGAGTGTGGTGGCACATGCTACTTGGGAGGCTGAGACAGGAGAATCACTTGAACCCGGGAAGCAGAGGTTCCAGCAAGTCGAGATCACACCATTGCCCTCTAGCCTGGGTGACAAAAGTGAAACTCCATCTCAAAGTAAATAAATAAGTAAAAATAAAAAGTTGTTAAATATTCAGAACTGCTAACCCTAGAGCCTCCGATGTTAAGTTAGCATGGTTCCTTCCTAGTATGTGTGTAAGCTAAGTTACTACCATAATCCAGTTTAGATACCCTGCTTGTTTAACAGAGACTTAGGCCTTTGAGGCAGTGGATTGTGGGGTAGTAGGTTAGTTAAGAGAGAGGTAGGTGGTCAAGTGTGGCAGACATGGCATTTCAAGGTACTTGGGAATGTGTGCTGTTGGCTCTGGTGGTGCCCCTGCCCAGCAATGGTCTGCTTTCAAACCGTGTGCACTGTGGAGCAGGCCCTTCTTGCTGGTACCTGGAGGGTGGATCATGTCCAGCTGCCACTATTCAGGAAGCTGCTGGTCTGTACAGCCTTTCCTTCCTGCAGTCTGCCGGGGACCTTTCCTTTTGTGTTAGGTGTGCCGTATTATCTGGAATAATACTTGAATGATACTTGACATTTTGGTTTTTTTTGTAAACATTAAAAAAAATCTTTTTGTTGCTTGTTTTGAAACTTGTAACTTTTTTTCTTCTCAGGAAGGTGATTTTTAATGTTGCATTGTTCATGATACAAACTCGAAGCAACACTATCTGGAAAAATGTCCTTTTTTGCATTTTGGTAAACAAGCTGCGTTTATTTTTAAAAATTCTATTTATAGAAAGAATAAAAACATTGAGTAAGAGCACGCTGTCCTCTGGCTGAAATAAATGAAATGTAGTGAATGGACCTGGACATTTATTTTGGTTATTGAGAGCCCTTTTTGCTCATTCTCCAAGTATTTATTTTGACTAAAGCTACTGTGTAAATGACTTCGTCATTGAAGCTTACCTAGTAAGATAAGTGCTACTACCTGTTTTTTTTTCTACATACCTATAACAAAACCAAGGAAGAAAATTGAATATAAAGTTAACCACAGATACAAAAATATACTTAAGTGGGGTTTCTGGTGATGGGAAAGATGGAGATGTATTGATGATTGGAATTTCATTTCATATCAAGAACAGAATGTTGAGGGAGGAGATAAAACAAAAAGTCAGTGTTCAGACTAAAGTATATTTCTAGACAATATGTAATATTGGGAAGGGTATTTAAAGTTTCTGCTAAGAGACCAGCTATAGTTAGTAAGTTGCAGTGCCAGTTTCCCCAAGGAAAAATGGAGAAATCATATTTCTGAAGAGGTGGTCAGTTTCCATATTACTAGTGTATAATTTTAGTTTGAATGAAAGGGAAACAAATAATATCTCTACACTTGTTTTTTCCTGTTTATATAATTAGTATATAATCTCAGCATTTATTTGTATGAAATCCAGAAATCGAGTAGATTTCTTGATTTACTTTTTATGTATATTTTCTCTTCCATCTAGGTAGACATTACATCCAAGAGGAAATAATCCAGGCAAGGAAGCACAAGCTAATCAAGATGTGTAGTTCTGTGGCTGCCAAGTTGTGGTTTTTGACAGATCGTCGCATCAGGGAAGACTATCCTCAAAAAGAGATTTTACGAGCGCTGAAGGCCAAATGTTGTGAGGAGGAACTGGACTTTAGGGCTGTGGTGATGGATGAGGTGGTGCTGACAATCGAGCAAGGAAACCTGGGTAGGTCTATACTAAGTGATCTTTTAGATTTTTACCTAGAATATGATGAATCTGCATGTTTTAAGAATAATTAGGACAGAGGAATTCATAGCCTTGTCATTACTAAGTGTCTTCTAATTATAAGGTCTAATATATTTTATGGAAGTAATATAAACAATATTTATTAACTTTATTAGGAAACAGTTGTGAGGGAAATTAAAGATGACCTTCAAAACAGATAAACAATAAAACAAAGTAGGCACATGCCTGTAGTTCCAGAGGCTAAGGTGGGAGGATCACTTGAACCCACAAGTTCAAGTCCAGCCTGGGCAACATTGAAGACACAGTCTCTGAAAAATAAAAGTAAAAATGATTCTCAAGTTCCTTTCACTTTTACTGTCTTCTAGTTTTAAAATACTTTGTTTATAAGGTGCTCCTAAGGAAATTTGTATCTTTGGAGGTTCTTTCATTAATACTTGATTAATAAATCCATGTGATTCCTTTTTATAAAACACTTTATACATGTAATATAAACTAATATGGTTTTTCTTACAGGTGAGTGTCTTAATGATTTAACTCAATTGGTGATAAATATTTCTGGTATTTTTAGTATTTCATATTTGTTTTAGTACTGTAGGGGAGGATATCCTGGAAAAGTATAGAAATTCTTTAGTACTGATTTTCAGGAAACTCTTAAATTTTTGCTTTTGAAAGTTTTATGGCTTACCATAGCTAAATTGGTAGTTTCTGTCAGGGAGCGTTATATGGTGTCATATAAATGGACTTTTTGACTGACTTTCAGAAAATACTTCATAATTTAACGATAGTATAAACACATTTTAGATCACTTTCTTCCTTTGTGACTAGAATTACACTGAAGCCCCATGATTTAATTTCCTAATCAATGAAATGGAGAAAGACAGTTATTGTGAAAATTAAGGCTAGGCAAAGTACAATAAAATCTTACCTTTATCTGCCCTGGTAGGATAATTTCATTCATAGGCTAACAGATCTAGAATCTTGTCTAAGTTAAAAATGTTACCATAGGTTGAGTATCACACTAAGTATAATCTGTTAGCAAACATCACTTTTATTTTCAATCCTCTTGTAACATTTATTTATTTCATCCACAGTACTTTTGATCAGTTATTGTTGCCAAAAATGTTTCTTTGTTGTTTCGCTCAAGTAGATAAGTACTCTTCTTCTTTTTTTTTTTTTTTTTTTTTTTGAGACGGGGTCTTACTTTGTCACCCAGGCTGGAGTGCAGTGGTGCGATCTCAGCTCGCTGCAACCTCTGCCTCCCAGGTTCAAGCAAATTCTCCTGCCTCAGTCTCCTGAGTAGCTGGGATTGCAGATGTGCACCACCACGCCTGACTAATTTTTGTATTTTTAGTAGAGACCGGTTTCACCTTGTTGGCCAGGCTGGTCTCGAACTCTGAACTCAAGTGATCCACTTGCCTCAGCCTCCAAAAGTGCTGAGATTACCAGCATGAGGCACCATGCCCACCTACTCTTGTTCTCTTGAATGTACTGCCTTTATCAGGATGATGCTCACTATTTTATTTTCAGTGTAATTCTCTTTTCAGTATATATTGCCTGGGTCCAATACCTAGTTATTTATATTCAGGAAATCTGGGATGAGAGTCTATTTCATTATTTCATTAAGTATTATTTCAGCATTTACTATGTGCTGGGTAGTGGTATGGTATACAAAATAAAATATAGTCTCCTCTTGTATTCTAAAGGATAAGGTCAATATTAGTCAAACAATCACGCAAATAAATGTAAAGTTATAACTTTGGTAACATATGATGAAAAGTATGAATGTCACTTTGCACCCTTCTTACATCTGTGACCAAGATCCTTGATCAAAGTAAATCTCTAAAGCTCAATATTTGTGACATACTTGTTCAACTTACACAGCTTTTTCAGTGTAAGTGTATGTACAGTTATTATTGAAATTGGAGTCAGAAACTCAGACTCTTTATTGTATTGGGAGCCGTGTTCTTGAAGTCTGCATGAGAAGAGACATGCCAGTGTAAAACGTTAGTTCACTCAACACCGCTCCTACAAGGCTTCTGGTGGTTGGAAAACCAAAGGCTACAGCCATAGATCCTTATGAAATCTAGTGGGCTACTAAGTAATAACACAAAATGTGGGAGGTATGGGCATCTCTATTTTTTAAAAGTGTGTAGGTTGAAAAGGATCTGGGGTTGAAAACCATTGCTCTTGATATTTTTCCCAGTTACCTAGTGAACATTTTCACTTTATTCTCAGGTGGCATTTCTGTGTCATTCTATCACAGTGGAACTTACTTTTTTCCATCAAAACTGTCTTGTTATTTCAGCTTCTCTGTCTCTGTTTGTAATATCACCTTTCTCCCATTGACCTAGTCTTATCGTTAACATGTCTTTTTTTTTTTTTTAAATCCTCAAGAGCCAGTATGCTACAAAATTTTGTTGCTTTTTCTTTCTAAGCCATAAATGTTCTATCTTCTCACTATCCTGGGTCAGGCTATCATAGCTTCAATTTTTTTTTCTTTTAAAGACTAAAAGTGAAGTTTTAATTAATAGGTAAAAGAAAGAGAAAGGTGATCAGCTCTTCTGTGAGAGAGAAGGGCACCTGAGTGGGGCTTCCCATGGCTTCAAATTTTAATGACTTTAGCCCTCTAGCTTTTTCTTTTCTTTCTATTTTTTTTTTGAGATGGGGTCTCGCTCTGTCACCCAGGTTGGAGTACAGTGGTGTGATCTTAGCTCACTGCAGCCTCAACTTCCCAGGCTCAAGCAGTCTTCCCACATCAGTAGCTCTTTCTTTTTCAAAACTGTCTTTTCCTCTCTAGCATTTTTACATCTTCATTAAACACAACTTTTATCATCCTAATATTCTTTTAAAAATCTTCAGAAACTTACTTTTCCCCTGTAGTGTTAAATCTAATTTAAAAATTTTTCATACTTTTTGTTGATGCACCTCCTATATATTCAGGCATTTCTAGAAGGGTTTGTTGTTGTTGTTGTTTTTAACATTTTTCATGTATTATTTAACTCTCATATCTTATGAGGGAGGTGATATTACCATTATGCAGATGAGGAAACAGGCTCTTTCACAGAATTAAGTGGAGAGACTTAAACAAATTGGGATAAGGGAAATGTTCTAAAATTGTGGCTATTTTGCATAATACAGTGAAAATACTAAAAACCACATTTCTATACTTTAAATGGATGAATTTTACAATATGTGAATTATATCTCAATAAAGCTGTCTAAAAAATGTTACACACCATTTACACGTTACACGTCATTTATACGTTATCTGTGCAGTATTTTCTTTTTTTTTTTTTTTGAGACAGAATCTCGCTCTGCCGCCCAGGCTGGAGTGCAGTGGCCGGATCTCAGCTCACTGCAAGCTCCGCCTTCCGGGTTCACGCCATTCTCCTGCCTCAGCCTCCCAAGTAGCTGGGACTACAGGCGCCCGCCATGTCGCCTGGCTAGTTTTTTGTATTTTTCAGTAGAGACGGGGTTTCACTGTGTTAGTCAGGATGGTCTTGATCTCCTGACCTCGTGATCCGCCCGCCTCGGCCTCCCAAAATGCTGGGATTACAGGCTTGAGCCACCGCGCCCGGCATCTGTGCAGTATTTTCACAAAGAGAGAGTATAGTTATAAATGAGTAGAAGGCATAGAAGTTCTTTTGCTTTTCCTTTTTTTTCCTCCTCATTGCCTCTCCTTTTGTGTCAGTGTATGTAAAACTGCTCTCTTGAACTTCTCTTACAAATCTGTTCTAGCTCCAATATTAGTCTTTTCTATTAACGGTGTCCTCTTCCTAGCCTAAGCTTGAAGAAATCATGGAGTCAGCTTTCTTCTTCATTCTCCCTTACTTCCAGATATAATGTTGTAAAAGACTTGTCTGTTTTGTTTGTAATATATCTGACATAATGTCTGTTCTTATGAAATCAGACAATGAAATCAAAGTTGCCTGAACTATTATAGTAACCTCTAAATTTGTTTCCACTTTAAACTCATCTTCTAATGTACTGTAGTCAAATTAATCTTTCAGAATTACAGTGCTAGTTATATTTGCCTTTCCCAAATCCCTTTATCGTTTTATTGCCTAATCCTCCAAGTTTTTTTGTTGTTGTTGAGTATCTTCATTGGTTAAAAACTTTTGAAACATTCACCCCAATATATGCCTATTTTAAAATAACGAATATTGTGCTATGCTATTGCCTGTTGTAGGACTGTCCTTAGGCTAGCAGAATTGTATTTTCCCTGTTCATCTCTTTTACTGACAGTGCGGCCTTGGATTTTCAGCCTCTGTGCCTCAAATTAAAACCATCACCCGGCAGCAAATGTGCTGATTTTTCACAACTATCCCACTGTGGTCAAACTGTGCCAGCTAATCTGGTTGCATTTCCACCTCTGTGGAAATGGAATCAGACCTAGGTAAAAAAAAGGCCGTAGATTTCCATTGTTCATACCCAGAGTTCTAGCAGGTTTTTGTTGTTGTTGTTTTAAATGTGTCTCAATTTGTCTGTCTTTGGTTAGTTACCAGAGCTCTGAAATAGAATTGATAAAAATATTTCCAGTTTTGTACTTGTTCTTTGGAGTGAAGGTTTGTTGACCTCTTTTTAAAAATATAGCTTCGGCACAGTGGCTCACGCCTGTAATCCCAGCAGTTTGGGAGGCCAACACTGGCAGATCACAAGGTCAGGAGATTGAGGCCATTCCTGGCCAACATGGTGAAACCCATCTCTACCAAAAATACAAAAATTAGCTGGGCCTGGGGGCGTGCGCCTGTAGTCCCAGCTACTCCGGAAGCTGAGTCAGGATAATCAGTTGAACCCGGGAGGTGGAGGTTGCAGTGAGCCGATATAGCACCATTACGCTCCAGTCTGGCAACAAAACAAGACTCTGTCTCAAAAAAAAATACACACACACACACATATATTTTTAGTAGAGACAGGGTTTTGCCATGTTGGCCAGGCTGGTCTCAAACTCCTGACCTCAGATGATCCACCCACCTTGGC